CTAGTAGGTTTACACCCTGTATATAATGTTAAATTTATTCTCTTGACGCTGAGGAACGAAAGGGGAACTCGAGTGGTGAATGTATTTGTGAAAGACGCGGGAGGTCGGTTCTTTTCTTGGAAAACGGGTTTTTTATGAGATGTGTATCTGCGTTGGAAATAATGGGAAGAATTGTGCGGAAAACGGTTGGTTCAATAACAATGCGACTGTGTGCAGTAATGAAATATAGAGTCATATGGTTGTAAGATAAAAACGAAATTGTTAGATATAAAATTGAAAATGTTTTTGTTAAATAATTGATCATACAATGCTGAAACAATGCTGACCGCGATAGAAGCGGGGTTAGGAGGTAGATGTGGGTTGCGTCATAATTAATTGGCTGAAGAACTGATGGGGTAATATGATGAATGGAGATTTTTCTTTTGAATTGGTTTATTATGGACAAACACAGAATTGTGAATGAATACGGGAGGAGGTATTTGTGATGTTTGAATTTGCCGTCATAATGTGCATGTGATTGTGTGAAGAAATAAATTTTATGAAATTGATTGAGGATTATATGAAGTTTGATGTAGTGGAATGAAAGAACGGGGAGCGATGGGGCGATGAACAATGGAATTTTAAGGGGGATTATTTGAAATGGTGAGACATTGATACGATAATATGAAGCAGACGAAAGGATAAGATGTAGTGCGTGTCAATGGATTTGATTCAGTTGTGCTCTGTGCTTCTGTCGAGTAACCGTTATGGATAATATTATTCAAAGAGATTTGGATGATGGAGGAAACGAGGAGTGGACGGAGATGCGATATGATAGCGATGATTCAGGGTACGAATCAGGGAACACGAGGTCGCTGAGTACGTTATCGCTAGGATCATTGCTATCAATAGGATCCCCGTGGCTTTCCACATCAACGGAGGAATCCTTTGGAAGAAATGAAAGAGGTAGAAATCAATGGATAATAGCACAAATTCGACTGCTTGTCGTAATTACATGCAGGAGAAGGTGTAATAACTTCAATGAACGGGTGTATGACGGCATTCATTACCTGGATATATGATAAGTAAAGGTACAATGAAACAGATCTTGTCGTTTTTACCCACATTTATATGAGGATGTATCCCAACAGTCGTCAGATGACTAAGAATAATTCCCTTGGAAAACCAAGGACGAACAGAGATGCCCGACGCATGTTTGAGTACAATTCCAAACGCGCGGATGCCGATCCAGAGGTTTCATGGAATAACCTCGCCGAGATCGAAGAACGTGGAACCGCAGCGATGTCCAATCCCGGTCATCCACGCCCCCAACGTCAAGAAAGACAAAAACAGCGCTCACAATCATGGAGAGAAAAGAAGACGCCCCCAACTCCAGCAGAACAGGCAACGGCGCTTAAAGAGCAAACACTAGTCGCAAGGACTGAAGTTAGTGAACCAGTCGGACTAATGTATAACGTCGGCCCTATTTCCGGAAGCGTAAGTATTGACCAGCTTACCGGGCAGAACCTTGAATTCTCAACATTCCCTCTTTTAGTTCAGAGGACGTTCAGACACATGCAAGCAGTAGATGATAGATTGGCGAAGAAACTGCCATATTCCGCCTTTCTACATGGATGTACAACTGCTTTGGCTGCAAATATAATAGATATGCAGCAGAATGAGAACAAGGAGGGTGGTCTTCGAGCTGAAGGAGACGTTGGCGCATATTTAGACCAGATGGTACTTCCTGGTCCCATACGCGAATACCTCTCGAACATAGGAAAGACCATAACTAGTTCAGGAGAGATGGTCTCAACAAATATTCCCGCTATAGCCATACCAAGAGCGGAAGAAAATGAGACAAGCGGCAGCTTCGGTACTTTGGACGCAAATACCCATAATGTATACGAATGCTATGTCGCCCCACGCGTCACTCGAAGACGAGTTGAAGCCACATTAGCAAATGACGCTAACTGGACACCAGTACCCGCTGATTTACTTCCTGCCAATTTTGCGGCAAATCAGAACTTTTTAGGGTTTGGTGATATAGACCAGTTAAATCCAGATGGTCGGAGTGCATTGCAGGGGGTTCAATTCCCACCTGATGCCATTAACATGGGCATTGAAAGCAGAATCCAGTTTAGTCCGCAGATAACTGGGCTAATTAATAAAGTACTGGAAGCAATGGAGTCCAAGTATAAGATTGGACCTGCGCGCGTAAGGCGTAAAATTACCGCTGGATTTGTTGGTTTCCTTGTAGGAAGGAATGCATCGTAGTGATCATAAAGGAGGGGATGATTTTATTATTTTTAACAAACTTGTAATTTGTCGTGGACGTTTGAGATTTTCAGGCACATAAGAGGAGAGAGAGAAATTTTAAACTGACAGGACACTTGAAGTGATTTGTTTTTAAAATAGAAAGAACGAAGCGAACGGACACAAGAACCACAGGGTGGAATGTCTGGACTATATCGAGGGAAGATAAAGGGAAAGCAAAACGATGTATGGCATGAATAGACGCTTTTGCCTGAAGGAAATAGTACAGTCGGAGGAAAAACAAGGTGAATTGCGTAGTTTATAGTTAATACTATTATCATTATTACTGTTGTCGACTCTCACAACAATGATTATTGTTGATTGTTTGGTTATAGCGGAAGGAGGATTGTAATCAGGGAGACTGGATGGTAAACAGGACTAGGACCAATTGGTACGGCTTGATTAAGAGATACGAGTCGTAAATGCAGCAGGAATTAATAAATCCTTGACGATACAGATGAGCTAGGAGACCTTGACGATTGGGGCAATAAGTATAGAATGCTCCGGATACGGTGTATAATTATGGGAAGGAAGGAGTTCGTAGGACCAGAGTAAGTTGATTTTAAATTGTATCAAATGATTGAGAGTAAGAAGGTGGTATGACAATGAGTTTCTGTTAACAGGCAAGATGTGTAGATCGAGGAGGGTAGGATTGAACTTTGATGGAATCCGTGCAGAGATGTCGATGAAGCTGCTGGACGAAGGAGAGGAAGGTACAACGCCGATCGCCAGGTATATCGTTGATTTCCGATGATACTCGTTCCTGCAGGGTAAGTGATCTCTTCTGTTAATAAACGGTCGAAGCGGGAATGATATGCTTAGGAATTGATCGAGGGGGAGGGGAATAGGAATTTTAACTCGATTCAAGGAATCGAAGGGAACGAATTTTATTTTCCTGTATCTTTTCGTGCCCTCTTTGTTTGTACACGAGAATTTGTCCATTGGTTTGTGACCTTCGTGACATGAGGAAGGTTTCGTGCCTTTTCTTGATGTCTTCCTGATTTTGGTTTAAATGTTTGTTGAATTATTGATCTGGTTGAAGACCGTGGTTTCGATAACATGAGTTCAGTGTTATCGTGCTAACGATCTGTGAAGGGAAGCAGATAGGATGCACGAATTTATGTTCAATTGGTTTTTTATTCACGGTCTCATTTTTACTGGTACTGCGGTGTTGATCCAGACTGATTATTATTGTTGCTGGTTTGTCCTCGGGTCTTATAGATCTCATTCTGATTTATTCCGAAAGGATGTGGTAATCAGCCTTGCTGACAAGTGTATAGTTGACAGTATTAATTAAATACTCTTGTGAGATTGATTATACAATTGTATATTGATACTTTTTGTGGATAATAGGGGATTTTTTTTTATGGTGTATGGATTATAAATGTTTATGGGTTGTTGGATTCAGGCGTTTTGTGTTGAAGCTATTTTAATTTTATTTTGTTTTGTCTGTGAACTTTACACATGTGGTTTTCATTTTGAATGCATATTTGGGCTGTAATATTTGGCGGAGGTTCATCGCTGTGTTTGGAGTACGATTGACTCCTTTTTTAATTTCTCTCTTGATCGCGATCTGGATGCTCGTTGGATGCTGTCTTGGTCGAGTAAGTGGTAATACCGATAACAATTCAGACGAATTCAATGTTATCGTGCTAACTATTTCTGTGGAATTGAGTACAGGAACGGGGATAACACGATTAATGAATTAACTTTCTTCTAATAAACATGAGTTTATACTCAGATGTGGAGACGCATTATTTATGATGGTTGACTTGTCGTGGTGTTACTGTTTTTTTTAATTTTACCCTGCCGGCCCTGGAAGAGGATGCAAATGAAAGTATTCTTGATGGGCTGGCAAGGTGTACGACGGATTTCGTCGATATGATTATTTTCATGGTAATCTTTGATACATTCAGAACAGTGTATGTGTCACATCCTCGCGTATGTTACGTATTTTAAGTATAACTTCATATTTTATTTTTTTTTCGTATAAACGAATGATAACTCTTTCATT